TAAATATCTCCTCACCAGCTGACTTTGACACGCCATGGATACTCTGGTCTCGCCATTGATGATGTAGGAAGCTTCTTCACATGCCTGCAATATGGATGAGCTATTAGTTCTAAAATATCATACAAGTCAGGGTTACGACAAAACTACTACGTTTGTGTCATTTATTACATTATTATCTAAATTATTATGTTATTATCATTTCAAATACGAGTAACACAAAGCTATGGTCACTGTCTTCACCATCCACACAGAAAACACTGTTTCGAACAGATATATTTGATGGCCTCATGACCACATCCTATATCTGATTGAGTGTCAACGTCACCTTGTGTTTGATTGACTGTCCATACTACCCTACACATGAATGAATGCATATGTCATTCCATATTTGATTGTCAGTCTAAATAAATGTTTTTTTTTTAATAATTGCATATATATTTAAATGTGTGATAGATACACTGTCTAAATCCTAAATACTTTATTAAACATCCATATCTGTCTCCTTCTGTTTCTGTAAATAAACTCCTACCTCCTGTGTCAAATTCTATGATTTAGGAAGCTTACTTCTCCTACTGCGCACTGCTGAGTTTCCTTGCAGGATTGTGGATCAGTGAGTCCATCACAGTGGTAACACTCAAGGCCATGATCTACCGGGACAAAATATATCGTATATAGATAGTATAGTGGTTACACACGGGGCCATGATCTACCAGGACAAAATATATATCGTATATAGATAATATAGTGGTTACACACGGGACCATGATCTACCGGGACAAAATGTATCGTATATAGATAGTATAGTGGTAACACACGGGGCCATGATCTACCAGGACAAAATATATCGTATATATATAGTATAGTAGTAACACACGGGGCCATGATCTACCAGGACAAAGTGTATCGTATATAGATAGTATAGTGGTAACACACGGGGCCATGATCTACCGGGACAAAATATATCGTATATAGATAGGATAGTGGTTACACACGGGGCCATGATCTACCAGGACAAAATATATCGTATATAGTTAGTATAGTAGTAACACACGGGGCAATGATCTACCAGGACAAAATGTATCGTATATAGATAGTATACTAGTAATACACGGGGCCATGATCTAACAGGACAAAATATATCGTATATAGATAGTATAGTAGTAACACACGGGGCCATGATCTACCAGGACAAAATATATCGTATATAGATAGTATAGTGGTGACACACGAGGCCATGATCTACCAGGACAAAATGTATCGTATATAGATAATATAGTAGTAACACACGGGCCATGATCTACCAGGACAAAATGTATCGTATATAGATAGTATAGTAGTAACACACGGGGCCATGGTCTATCGGGACAAAATATATCGTATATAGATAGTAGAGTGGCAACACACGAGGCCATGATCTACCAGGACAAAATGTATCATATATAGATAGTATAGTGGTAACACACGAGGCCATGATCTACCGAGACAAAACGAATCGTATATAGATAGTATTGTAGTAACACACGGTGCCATGATCTACCAGGACAAAATATATCGTATATAGATAGTATAGTGGTAACACACGAGGCCATGATCTAACAGGACAAAATATATCGTATATAGATAGTATAGTGGTAACACATGGGGCCATGATTTACCAGGACAAAATATATCGTATATAGATAGTATAGTGGTAACACACGAGGCCATCTACCGGGACAAAACATATCGTATATAGATAGTATAGTGGTAACACACGAGGCCATGATCTAACAGGACAAAATATATCGTATATAGATAGTATAGTGGTAACACACGAGGCCATGATCTGCGAGGACAAAATGTATCGCATATAGATAGTATAGTAGTAACACACGGGGCCATGATCTACCAGGACAAAATGTATCGTATATAGATGGTATAGTGGTGNGTCATGATCTACCAGGACAAAATGTATCGTATATAGATAGTATACTGGCCATGGTAACACACGGGGTCATGATCTACCAGGACAAAATGTATCGTATATAGATAGTATACTGGCCATGGTAACACACGGGGTCATGATCTACCAGGACAAAATGTATCGTATATAGATAGTATACTGGCCATGGTAACACACGGGGTCATGATCTACCAGGACAAAATGTATCGTATATAGATAGTATACTGGCCATGGTAACACACGGGGTCATGATCTACCAGGACAAAATGTATCGTATATAGATAGTATACTGGCCATGGTAACACACGGGGTCATGATCTACCAGGACAAAATGTATCGTATATAGATAGTATACTGGCCATGGTAACACACGGGGTCATGATCTACCAGGACAAAATGTATCGTATATAGATAGTATACTGGCCATGGTAACACACGGGGTCATGATCTACCAGGACAAAATGTATCGTATATAGATAGTATACTGGCCATGGTAACACACGGGGTCATGATCTACCAGGACAAAATGTATCGTATATAGATAGTATACTGGCCATGGTAACACACGGGGTCATGATCTACCAGGACAAAATGTATCGTATATAGATAGTATACTGGCCATGGTAACACACGGGGTCATGATCTACCAGGACAAAATGTATCGTATATAGATAGTATACTGGCCATGGTAACACACGGGGTCATGATCTACCAGGACAAAATGTATCGTATATAGATAGTATACTGGCCATGGTAACACACGGGGTCATGATCTACCAGGACAAAATGTATCGTATATAGATAGTATACTGGCCATGGTAACACACGGGGTCATGATCTACCAGGACAAAATGTATCGTATATAGATAGTATACTGGCCATGGTAACACACGGGGTCATGATCTACCAGGACAAAATGTATCGTATATAGATAGTATACTGGCCATGGTAACACACGGGGTCATGATCTACCAGGACAAAATGTATCGTATATAGATAGTATACTGGCCATGGTAACACACGGGGTCATGATCTACCAGGACAAAATGTATCGTATATAGATAGTATACTGGCCATGGTAACACACGGGGTCATGATCTACCAGGACAAAATGTATCGTATATAGATAGTATACTGGCCATGGTAACACACGGGGTCATGATCTACCAGGACAAAATGTATCGTATATAGATAGTATACTGGCCATGGTAACACACGGGGTCATGATCTACCAGGACAAAATGTATCGTATATAGATAGTATACTGGCCATGGTAACACACGGGGTCATGATCTACCAGGACAAAATGTATCGTATATAGATAGTATACTGGCCATGGTAACACACGGGGTCATGATCTACCAGGACAAAATGTATCGTATATAGATAGTATACTGGCCATGGTAACACACGGGGTCATGATCTACCAGGACAAAATGTATCGTATATAGATAGTATACTGGCCATGGTAACACACGGGGTCATGATCTACCAGGACAAAATGTATCGTATATAGATAGTATACTGGCCATGGTAACACACGGGGTCATGATCTACCAGGACAAAATGTATCGTATATAGATAGTATACTGGCCATGGTAACACACGGGGTCATGATCTACCAGGACAAAATGTATCGTATATAGATAGTATACTGGCCATGGTAACACACGGGGTCATGATCTACCAGGACAAAATGTATCGTATATAGATAGTATACTGGCCATGGTAACACACGGGGTCATGATCTACCAGGACAAAATGTATCGTATATAGATAGTATACTGGCCATGGTAACACACGGGGTCATGATCTACCAGGACAAAATGTATCGTATATAGATAGTATACTGGCCATGGTAACACACGGGGTCATGATCTACCAGGACAAAATGTATCGTATATAGATAGTATACTGGCCATGGTAACACACGGGGTCATGATCTACCAGGACAAAATGTATCGTATATAGATAGTATACTGGCCATGGTAACACACGGGGTCATGATCTACCAGGACAAAATGTATCGTATATAGATAGTATACTGGCCATGGTAACACACGGGGTCATGATCTACCAGGACAAAATGTATCGTATATAGATAGTATACTGGCCATGGTAACACACGGGGTCATGATCTACCAGGACAAAATGTATCGTATATAGATAGTATACTGGCCATGGTAACACACGGGGTCATGATCTACCAGGACAAAATGTATCGTATATAGATAGTATACTGGCCATGGTAACACACGGGGTCATGATCTACCAGGACAAAATGTATCGTATATAGATAGTATACTGGCCATGGTAACACACGGGGTCATGATCTACCAGGACAAAATGTATCGTATATAGATAGTATACTGGCCATGGTAACACACGGGGTCATGATCTACCAGGACAAAATGTATCGTATATAGATAGTATACTGGCCATGGTAACACACGGGGTCATGATCTACCAGGACAAAATGTATCGTATATAGATAGTATACTGGCCATGGTAACACACGGGGTCATGATCTACCAGGACAAAATGTATCGTATATAGATAGTATACTGGCCATGGTAACACACGGGGTCATGATCTACCAGGACAAAATGTATCGTATATAGATAGTATACTGGCCATGGTAACACACGGGGTCATGATCTACCAGGACAAAATGTATCGTATATAGATAGTATACTGGCCATGGTAACACACGGGGTCATGATCTACCAGGACAAAATGTATCGTATATAGATAGTATACTGGCCATGGTAACACACGGGGTCATGATCTACCAGGACAAAATGTATCGTATATAGATAGTATACTGGCCATGGTAACACACGGGGTCATGATCTACCAGGACAAAATGTATCGTATATAGATAGTATACTGGCCATGGTAACACACGGGGTCATGATCTACCAGGACAAAATGTATCGTATATAGATAGTATACTGGCCATGGTAACACACGGGGTCATGATCTACCAGGACAAAATGTATCGTATATAGATAGTATACTGGCCATGGTAACACACGGGGTCATGATCTACCAGGACAAAATATATCGTATATTGATAGTATAATGGCCATGGTAACACACGGGGTCATGATCTACCAGGACAAAATTCGTTTGCATCAACTGATTTCCCGATGATTGGTTTGGTTTGGTTTTGTTTGTTTGTGTTTTACGTCCTTTTAACAGCTATGGTCAGTTACCGATGCGTATATAGATAGTATACTGGCTATGGTAACACACGGGGTCATTATCTAACAGGACAAAATGTATCGTATATAGATAGCATACTGGCCATGGTAACACACGGGGCGATGATCTACCAGGACAAAACGTATCGTATATTGATAGTATACTGGCCATGGTAATACACGGGGTCATGATCTACCTGGACAAAATGTATCGTATATAGATAGTATAGTGGTCCAGGACAAAATATATATCGTATATAGATAGTATAGTGGTCATGGTAAAACACGGGGCCATGATCTACCGGGACAAAACGTATCGTATATAGATAGTATAGTGGTCATGGTAACACACGGGGCCGTGATCTACCAGGACAAAACGTATCGTATATTGATAGTATAATGTCCATGGTAACACACGGGGTCATGATCTACCTGGACAAAATGTATCGTATATAGATAGTATAGTGGTCCAGGACAAAATATATATCGTATATAGATAGTATAGTGGTCCAGGACAAAATATATATCGTATATAGATAGTATACTAGCCATGGTAACACACGGGGTCGTGATCTACCAGGACAAAACGTATCGTATATTGATAGTATACTGGCCATGGTAACGCACGGGGCCATGATCTACCGGGACAAAACGTATCGTATATTGATAGTATAATGGCCATGGTAACAGACGGGGTCATGATCTACCAGGACAAAACGTATCGTATATTGATAGTATACTGGCCATGGGAACACACAGGGGCATGATCTACCAGGACAAAATTCGTTTGCATCAACTGAGTTCCCGATGATTGGTTTGGTTTGGTTTTGTTTGTTTGTGTTTTACGTCCTTTTAACAGCTATGGTCAGTTACCGATGAACCATTGATCAGTAATATCACAACTTCTGCCGATCGAAATAACTGAAAATCCTGGATACAGTCACAGCATTCCAACTGCTGGAAGCAAAAAAATGATGCAAGTACCATATCTTTATTGATAGTGAGACTTGTGTGTACTTACTTCTACACATAATGGCTACGTCGTTTTCGTGTGTGCATGAATTAGATCCCCACTGTCCATGGATACAGAGGTCAAGGGAAGGCTCACTTCCGTTACACTGTACTCCACTCAGCCACACTTTTCCGGTTCCGGCCCCAAAGGCGGCCGATCCCTGGACAACTGGTGAGTCACTGAAAAAGTGATGTATACTTTTACTTGGTAAATATGCTAATATGAATAAGTTACATCATTGCGCCGTTACAATATGTATTTTTTGAAAATGTTCTCCGCGAAGCAATGATACTAACATTTACATTGCTTCTCATAAAATACACACAGTATACATATATTTTTCAGTCATACAGTTCAAATATATTTATATGTATAATAAAGGAGTTATGCAAAGTAGGGAATTACAGAAAAAAAACAAGATCTAACACCCGACTAGAAAACTAACTTCTTCCCCCCTTCACAGGGCTCTTCGTGTTTATTTCAAACGGACAGCATCGTGACGTCACAATTATATGCAAGTGACCCGACACTATATACACAAGATTGGTGGAAAAAATAGCTCACACTTGAACTGTGGTCTGTTGAGACTTGGTTTCTATATTTTGAATAAATTGCTTTCTTTCGTTTCTCCAAGTAGTATTGGATGCAAAATGTATCTCCGGAACATTCATGCATATATTTATTAACATACAAATTTCGTAAGGTTCAATTTTTGTTTGTTGTTTATGTATTAAAACGGTCTATATGTCACTTTTTTCATCGTATTTTACATGTTGATAACTTCCTTGGCATGACTGTCAATACTTTTATACTCAAACATATGTTTGTAGCTATTCTTCAGGTGCAATTAATGTACATGTAGTATATCTTTCAAACCTTATATTTCAATCAACGTGTATGTTTTTCTCAATAATTGGAACTTGTGAAGTCCATTCTGCTAGTTTGCCCCAGGTTCTGGAGCTTGTGCAAGTCTACGTATATACGAAATGTCAAAAAAATACAGTCCGCCATTGGAGGAACATTCTACAACATGATGGTGTATGTTGATAGTTCAATACAGCCAAAGTATGTAGAAACAAAACACAAAACCATATCTAAAATGTCATATTCAATTTTTGCTGTTGAATTCATAAGATATCAAATTTTCTGACGCGTCATCGCGGAAGTATAATGTCTAGACGCGGTGCGCAGGCTCAGCAGCGAGTCTACGGCAGCCATTTTTTTATAAGCTCGAAGTAGAGAGCTGCTAAATTTCAAGGTTCTATATCTTCTGGAATGAAGCTGCAGTAATTGAATTAGACAGGAAACCAGACTTTGCTTGAAAGGACAAAATAATTTGATATTGCTGTTACAATGTAGCTGATCGACTGCAGTTTCCTACTTTTAGACGGAAGCACAATACAATACACTACATGACATTGGTACGTGTCTCCACCTGTCAATCACAAACCCGTTTATGTGTATTTCTACCTGTCTACCCTAAACCTGTTAATCAAAAACATGCTCGATATATTTCTACCTGCAAGCTATAACTCTATATCGGTATCCCTACCGATTTACCGTAGCACACCTGGGATTGTACGTTTTCCTACCTTGGGAAGCCATTCACGTTCCACACGACCTGTGCATATGTCACATGAAAGTATCACATCTAGGATTGTACGTTTTCCTACCTTGGGAAGCCAAGCACGTTACACACGACCTGTGCGTCTGTCACACCGAACCCGTTCCCACATACTGTTCCCCATTGGTTGTTGTGAAATACTTCCAGACGTCCTTCGAATGGTCCTACTCCACCCACCAATCGGAGTGGGCTCTCCAACCTCCCTAGTAACGTAAACAAAAGGTATGCACGTAGAATAATTCAGAAACATTTGCGTAACAATATACTGTCAGCTTGTTTGAATTGCAACATGCAAGACTGCGGTGTGGGAACGATGTTTCTATAACGTGCGCATCATGTGTGAGCACGGTGTAGGAAAGGTGTAATTATAGTGTGCGCATCATGTGAGCGCGGTGAAGGGCCTAATCTCCACATCGAACCAAATATGGTAGGTGATCATATCTTACCTCCACATCAAACCCACATGTCCTCATTGATCGTTCCTTAACTCGACATCAAAATCACATGTCCTCGATAATTTTATTCTTACCTCCACATCGAACCCCTACGTCTTCAGAATGGTCACAGTTGTTGGCTCCGAACGGGTTGTGTCGGCATGCATCAACTGAGTTCTCGAGTCCTGTGCAGTGAACGTTGTCTAGCCAAATTTTACCTATTCCGTCGCCGAAGAAACCACCGGTCACCGACTGAGCCTCCGCTCTGTTAAACACAAAGGTAATCCCATACTAATACATTTTTGTCGAGAGCTACATCCACAAGGATCCCTTTGATATAGTGTGTGTTTCCCTATGACTCTGTTATTAAATACTATCCCTCTGAAATGGATCAAGTATGTATACCCTACTTCCTGTACATGTACGCAACTCTGCCATCATTACAATCTCTATGCTGTATGTAAGGTTACTTAAATCAATATCTCCAGTTTAGTTGTTTTCTCTATATCCTCAATTTACTTTCAATAACATCCATGTCTTTTTCAGATTACACTTTAGTCGATGAATGTCCTTGTAAATATCCGCCATACGTCATCATTACAATGTACGTCTTCGCCTCAATCATAACTGTTCTTTTTACCATGCATGCTCATATTTTTTCTCGTGGATATTCTTAAAAATTGTTTAAAATAATGTAACAGAACGTACCGTAAGGTATGTGACGCAGATCATAATACACATTATTTATCCATACGAAATCAGTAATTTACTTACCAAAAATATTATCTTATATACATGTCATTTATTTGTATTGCAGATGATATATAGCTAGAAAATGGATGCACATATCTGTTTCCAGAATAAGACTTACGTGGGAAGGCCAAGCATTCTGCATACAGTCTTTGCCTCCTCTCTTCCGAAGTAATCGTCACAGACGGTTCCCCACTGATTATGATAAAAGACCTCCAGCCGACCTTCGTTTGGTGTCTTTCCATTCACAAGTCTGGCGGTAAGGTTCTGGGCCCCTAGTACCATATCATATGTCAATTATTTATCAAACGCGTCTGAAAGTTCCTCATCGGTCACAATATCTCTTTATAACGAAGTATATTCTATCAATTTTATTCTTTTATTCGATTATCTTAAACAAAAGACCGTCCATCACCAAATAGATGGCTACTTATGAAAAAGAATATCAATTTGAATATAAGTTCAAAATAAAAAAAATCAAAGTGGCTGTTATGGTGGGTGTGGCCGATTTTCGGATGGGCTCAGAAATATCCAGCATAATCCATTGGTCAGGAATACACATTATTCTTTCGTGTTTCGTTTCGACTTAATCCTAATGAAGTCAGTAGAATTTCAGTTCGCGATATAGCACAAACGACGGACAATTCATGCATAAACTATATATTATTTCCTGCCAAATGTTGAGATCTTTTCAATAGAAATGTCGTCTCAAATAAGCGTCAGCATATCTTTTGAAAGTGATCATCTCTTTTAAAATGAAGATCCCACGTAAAAGAGAGTATCATCTCTAAAGCATACAACACCTTCTATTAGAATACTATATGTGTATATGTCCGAAGACATGTACAATAAGACAAACAATAAAGCAACCATGGGAAATTATTCTCATTACATAAAATCCCTCCAATGTAGAAAAAAAAAATAGTATAAATATTAAAAACTCGAATTTCTCTATTGGGCCCCGCAACGCTTATCACCCAGAGGGGCCTCACCATTCGTTTATACAACTTTAGTCCCATTAGCCTAAGGATGCTCTAGGCTAAATTTGAATAAAGTCCCTTTATTCCCATGTTTGAAGAAGGATTTCAAAGTGTTTTACCTCTATTTCTCCTAATGTGTCCTGCGGGGTATAATCAACCGTTTATACAAAACTGAGTCCCTTTGGCCTAAACATGATCCAGACAAAACCGGGACGAATCCCTTAATCCCTATTGTAGAAGAGGGATTTCAAAGGTTTTTACCTTTATTTCCCCTTTTGGGCCCCACCCCTCTGCCCCCAGGAGGGCCTATCCTTTATAAATAAAATCGAGTCACCTTGGCCCAAGGATGCTCCAAACCAAATTAGGTTAAAATCCCTTAATTTTAAAAGTTTACATCTATTTCCCCTATTCGGCCCCATTACTCTGTCCCCAGGGGACCACACCCACCGTTTATATAAAATTGAATCCCCTTTGCCCAAGGAAAGGGCATTAATTGTTACGGTAGAAAAGGGATTTTAAAGGTTTTACCTCAATTTCCCATATTGGGCCCCGCTCCTCTGCCCCTAGCTGGTCCACACCTACCGTTTATACAACAATGAGTCCCCTTTGCCCGAGGATGCTCCAGACCAAATTTGGTTGAAATCCCTTAATCCCTATGGTAGAAGAAGGATTTTAAAGATTTACCTCTATTTCCCATATTCGGCCCACCCCTCTGCCCCCAAGGGAGCCACACCCACCGTTTATATAAACTTGGGTTCCCTTGGCCCAAGGATGCTCCGGACCGAGCCATGATAAAATCCCTTAATTTTTACGGTAGAAGAAGGATTTTGAACTTTTTACCTCTATTTGGCCCCGCACCTATGCACCCAGGGGGTCCACACCCAACGTTTATACAACATTGAGTCCCCTTGGCCTAAGGATATTCCAGACCAAATTAAGTCAAAATCTACTGGGCCGTTAAGGACAAGTAGCATTTTAAAGTTGATGGACGGATGGCAGGTCCACGGACGACGGACGCTGCGCCATATCATTTATATGCCTTCGGGCACAGGTGAGCTAAAATAACGACAGAGAGCAACGTATTTTTAACAACACAGAATTTCTCTGAACAAGAATAGCATATCGTACAAGCAATATGTCTCATGAAAGAGAAAAAGCCTATCACATGTTGTATATTGAAAAAAACCAGCAAAAGCTTCTCATGAAAACTTGTTCTCATATCTAGCTTTTAAGAAGGTGATAACACATAACACCTTTTATACAGTAACAGAAATGTAACCCATGATATCTCTTACTGGTGCACATGACCTTGGTTACTTCAACATAATAGGTAACTTTTAACAGGACAAAATAGCGTCCTCTAACTGAGGGTGTTACGGCCGATGTTACGGCCAATAACTTACCGGCGTTATAAATGACACTAGCGTGCTCTAACTGATGGTGTTACGGCCGATAATTTACCGGCGTTATAAATGACATTAGCGTGCTCTAACTGATGGTGTTACGGCCGATAATTTACCGGCGTTATAAATGACACTAGCGTGCTCTAACTGAGGGTGTTACGGCCGATAATTTACCGGCGTTATAAATGACACTAGCGTGCTCTAACTGACGGTGTTACGGCCGATAACTTACCGGCGTTATAAATGACACTAGCGTCCTCTAACTGATTGTGTTACGGCCGATAACTTACCGGCGTTATAAATGACACTAGCGTCCTCTAACTGACGGTGTTACGGCCGATAACTTACCGGCGTTATAAATGACACTAGCGTCCTCTAACTGATTGTGTTACGGCCGATAACTTACCGGCGTTATAAATGACACTAGCGTCCTCTAACTGAGGGTGTTACGGCCGATAACTTACCGGCGTTAAAAATGACACTAGCATCCTCTAACTGAGGGTGTTACGGCCGATAACTTACCGGCGTTAAAAATGACACTAGCATCCTCTAACTGAGGGTGTTACAGCCAATAACTTACCGGCGTTATAAATGACACTAGCGTCCTCTAACTGATGGTGTTACGGCCAATAACTTACCGGCGTTACAAATGACACTAGCATCCTCGCTGTGATCACAGTCGTTGATGCCGAAGCCATCAAATCGACATAGTCCGATATTGCTTTCACGTCCACTGCAGGCGAGCTCGTCCATCTGAATGGTTCCAGAACCTTCACCGAAAAAGGCGTCTCCCAATGCGACGGAAGTTCCACTATAAACATGGCAGGTGACATTTAAAAGTATTTTCAGCTACAAGCAAAATCTTTAACAATCGAATTAATATGAATTTGGCTTGAATCATCCTTCATCTTCTTATACATCTCCCAAAACAAGTTATAATACAGCTGTGCATGTAGCACGCGGCTATCTGAACATATCTTTAATATAAATCTTTAAAATAGACTCCATTGAAGACTACGTACGATAATAGACAAATTCATAATTAAAATTAAAAGAAAACCGTTACACTCTCCTATACTACTACATCAACCGCTTACCTCGTTCTTAAAGAACAGCTCGACCAAAGGTGACGACATGATACTAAGCTGTTTGATAAGCGTTACGATCGTTAATTTTCCATTTCTCGATTGTTTCATTTCTATTTCCCCTACAATGTCTATATTTTGAAAGGGCTTGGTCAACGTATCACTGTTTCCCTTTTTTTATCATGCCCATTATGTGTCTTTTGGTGATACTGCTTGAGTTCTGACTTATAGAACGTGACATTACTAGGATTTTACCCAAATTTACATTTCAGGTGTCTTCGATGAAGCAAAAACACAAACAAATATCACCAAATCGATAAAATTAGGAAAACATATAAACAACATTTCTGAACTTATATACATATTCAAATACAATGTATGTCAAAAAAGAACTTACTTTCCAAATCCAAGCATGTTACAGATGACTTTGGCCTCACGATTATCAAATTCGTCATCACACACGGTTCCCCATCGGTTGTTATGTAACACCTCCACGCGCCCCTCTTCGTTATTGGATCCACCCACAAGGCGCACTTGCGTGGCGGCAGTCGACTCTACAAATACACAAAATCTTTAAATTTACATCCGGGTTTTTTCGTCTTTGGTATTTAACATTTACCTTCGAACAAGTAAGAAAATATGTACAGTTCTCTTAACGACTTTCGTATTTTACCTTACACTAAACTTTATCTATGACAGTATCTGTGCAATTTCCAATTCTATCTATTTCGGTGACAATCAATTATATTCACATTTCAGCATCAATTTGTGTCTTACCTGTGTGACATATCTTAGATACACTAACTGGTCATGTGACGTATCATATATATTATCGTCATATGACAGGTCTTAAAAAAACATATTTTCTGCGTCTGACAAATCTGAAATACATATTCCCTGCATGTGACAAATCTAAGATTGATATTCTCTTCGTGTAACAAATCAAAGTAACATATTAACTGCGTTTAACATATCTTAGATAAATATTCTCTGCATGTGACATATTTAAAATACATATTCTCTGCGTGCAACAGATCATAGATACATATTCTCTGCATTTAAAATATCATACAGGTATATACATATTCTCATCAATTGACAGATCTTAATTATAATTCCTCTGGGTGGGACATATTGAAGATATGTATTCTCTGTGTGTGTGACAAATCGAAGATGAATATTCTCTGTGTGTGACAGATCTCGGATATAATTGCTCTGTGTGTGACATATTCAAGATACAAATTATGTGCGTGCAAACATATCATAGATACAATTCTCTGTATGGGACACATTTGAGATACATATTCTCTGTGTGTGACAAATCATAGATACATATTCTCTGTGTGTGACAAATCTTATATAAATCTTATGTATGTGAGACAGATTTTTGATAAATATTCTGTGTGTGTGACAGATCTAAGATAAATATTCTCTGTGTGCGACAGATCTAAGATAAATATTCTGTGTGTGACATATCTTAGATAAATATTCTGTATGTGTGACAGATCTTAGATAAATATTCTGTGTGTGTGACAGATCTAAGATAAATATTCTGTGTGTGTGACAGATCTTAGATACATATTCTGTGTGTGTGACAGATCTAAGATATTCTCTGTGTGTGACAGATCTTAGATAAATCTTATCTGTGTGTGACAGATCTAAGATAAATATTCTGTGTGTGTGACAGATCTTAGATAAATATTCTGTCTGTGTGACATATCTTTGATAAATATTCTCTCTGTGTGTGACAGATCAAAGATAAATATTCTGTATGTGTGACAGATCTTAGATAAAGATTCTGTGTGTGTGACAGATCTAAGATAAATATTCTCCGTGTGTGACAGATCTAAGATAAATATTCTGCGTGTGTGACAGATCTTAGATAAATATTCTGTGTGTGTGACAGATCTAAGATACAAATTA